CTGTGTCCGCAAAACTGACACGCTTGGGAGTAGTAGAGCATTGTGGGCCTGTCGTCTCTCTGATGTGTAACGGACCTTCTGCCAGACATGAAGAGGTGGGAGCTCATCCTCTCATGATAGGCTTTCATTTGGTCTCGCCTCCGGTCATTGGTTTCCTTGACTTCTTCGTGTCGTGCATGTACATATGGTTGCGGCTTGGCAAACTTGTGCGGGGTGGTCTGCCAAACATTATCTTGACAGGAGATGGTGATTTGGGATCAATCTGAGTAGCACTCAGGCTTAGGAGTGCCTTGTCAACATTTTGCTTTGATTTCTGGCACCTCTGGATGAGTGTCTTGATCATCCTCACAGCACTTTCCAGAAATCATTAGATTGGGGATGCCATGGTGAGGATGTGACGTAATGTATGCCCCACAAAAGTGCACACATCCTTGCACGGTGCTCCAGCAAACTGAGGGCCATTGTCGGAGATGATCTCGGCAGGTGCTCCCGAACATGCAAATTGTGTGTGAAGTTACACCAGCTACTGTTGTGCTCTTAGTATCTGTCAGCCTGTGGACGACTGGGTACTAGGTGGTATAATCCATGATTAAGAGGTAGTCATCACCACAAATTTCAAACAGGTCGATACTTATCTTGGTCCATGGGGCACAGGAAATCTCACGGGGGTGGAGGGGTTCCTTTTTCTGCTTCGGTTGGTTTTCTTCGCAGTATTCACACTCCCTTACAGTGTTGTCTATGTCACAGTTAATTTTTTGGCCCGCACACAGTTTCTTGAGCGAGCCATCTCATTTGTTTTTCAATGCTCATGTGTCCAGCGTGGAGCTGGTTCATGTTGTAGGCCCTCTTGGATTATTACTTGTTTCTTTTTAAAGACGACACCTGAAGATATTCCTAGTTCATCTCTGTAGGGCCAGTATGGCCTCAGGTCTTGGGGTAGTTCCGTGATTTGGTCAGGCCAGCCAGTACATATGACTTGGCTCGGGAAACTCAGGACTGGGTCTCAGGCAGTTTGGGTCTGTAGTTGGGTCTGTTTCATCTGGCTGAAGTGGAAGAGGTCAATTTGCTTGAAGTCTGGACCATTGATGACGTCGATGCCACCACCGAGTCGGTCAAGGTGTATGGCTGCATTCTTCTTAGGGTTGGGCAGTCTGCTCAAGGCAACGGACGGGATCATTGTCGGACCTGGCTTGCTATGTGCAGTGAAATTCTTGCCCTGCAATTTGATCAGTAGACTCTGTAATCTGGGTGGTACACTAGACAGAGGCTTTCTCCACATCATTTCTAGCGACATGTGGCCTGTGTATACCATGCATTCCTTCCTGAAGAGGTACATGTAGTTGTGAAATTGGGCTATGCCCTACACCAATGCTAGTGTCTCCCTCTCGATGTTGGAGTAGTATTTCTGTGCCGGCGATAATCTTTTGAATGCAAAGGCAATGGGTTTGCCTTGTTGCGTGAGGCATGCTCCCAGTCCTTTCTGTGATGCATCAACCTTAAGTACAGTCAGTGTCTCAGGGTTGTAGTACTGGACACATGCATCTGCGGTTATTGACTGCTTCAATCCCACAAATGCTGCTTGGTGGTCCTCTTGCCAGACAAAATGTATGTTCTTTTTCAGAAGATCTCAGAGGATCACTGCCTTGTCGGCAAGGTTTGGTATGTACGCAGAGAGGTAGGCGATTAGACCAACAAATTTCTGGAGGTCTTCTTTGTCCTGTGGTGTGGGGATGCCATGTATATCTTCAACTCGCCCTGGTCTGGCTAGACTCCTTCGTCAGAGTAAATTGAGCTGAAGAAATTTATCTTTTTCATCT